TATTCGAATTCAGACTACAACTTGAATGTATAGCAGTCTGACTACATGTGGCACAACCTGCCATCACCTGTCCGCGTGAAAAATGTAAAAACCTGCTCTATCCATACTCATGTACAATATAGAGCTGAAGAAATTCCGTGAAATTTTAAACTTGCCGCCTCCCAGTTCAGCCGTTCGGCCTGAAGCTGCTGATCAGTATTGTGATTAATTGGCGCTACTGACAAGGTAAAAGTAGTCCATGGAGAAGCAATTTTACAACACAAGTGAAACCCAGTCAGTAAGTAACCATGTGATGTAGAGTGCTGGATTGAACAATGNAATGTATAGCAGTCTGACTACATGTGGCACAACCTGCCATCACCTGTCCGCGTGAAAAATGTAAAAACCTGCTTTTTCCATACTCATGTACAATATCCACGTATCTCCTCATCTTTGATGCAAAATAACGAACTTCTGATTCAGATTCCCGTCAAACGGAAACAATGATCAATAGAAATTTCGTACTGTAATTGGAGCGAATTTGTGCTCGAAAGCTGACAGGCACTGTGCAGTTGTTTCATCCTAATTGGGAATCATCAGCAGTGTAGGGCTGAAGAAACTCCGTGAAATTTTAAACCTGCCGCCTCCCAGTTCAGCCATTCGGCCCCAAGCTGCTGGTCGGTATTGTCATTAATTCGCACTACTAACAAAGTGAAAGTAGTCCATAGAGAAGCAATTTTACAACACAAGTGAAACCCAGTCAGTAAGTAACCATGTGATTTAGAGTGCTGGATTGAACAATGAGTGGTGCTACGTCTTGTGTAAAGGCAAGTTAATCACACTGCCGATCAGAAGCTCCTGACAGAAAGGTTGTATTCACACATCTATCCTAAGGGTCGTATGTTCGAAGCTTTCCGGAGTTTCCCAATAAGAATTAAATAGCCGTACAGTGATCCTGTTTTTGTGCATATATTGACTCGACTTGCATGACGAAAATTCTGTTTATCGTCATCATCATCATCAGAAATAGCGACCTCAGCATTAACATTGATGCTTCACTGCCGTACAACCATAAGGTTCGCCTAATTATATTTTAAGCCCCAGAGTGAAAAGAAGAGAAAAAGAGTGGGTGAGGGAGGAGGCCCAATGCTGGCCTCCGTCAAGCATTCGAAGGTTTCTACGCCTCCAAGCGCTCAATCAGACAATCTGCAAAGGAACGGCACGAACGCCGCTGACATCCATTAGCCGCCATATCTCCTTCCAATGTTCGCAGCCAAGCGCAGGATGGGTCACAGGGAGCACATCCTGAAAGCTGTACAACACCAACAACACACAAACATTTTGTAATCTCTTTCACGCACTTCTTCCAAGTCACCATTGAGAAGAATACACGGCAAACAAGACTAGTCTCGGTAGACGGTGTTTCGGCATGCGCAGCACATGACCGAGCCACCGCGGTTGATAGTGCTGGATGTTTTCCGCGGTTGAAGTACCCACCACACAACCAAATACCCAAGAGGAACTAAAGTTCTTGGGACGCACATTCCTGCATAGCGGATACCCTGAAAGGTTTGTACTCAATAGCATAAAAGCCGTTAAGCGCAAACCTACACAATGTTCTGTTAGGAGGCAGCCCGTATACATGAGGCTTCGATTCAGAGGTGACTCGGTTGCTGAGCTAAACACTGAAGGCTTAGAAACTCTGTTCGTACGACATACTTGTCCGCTAATCTGTGTTTGAGCTTCAACTCCAGCCCCACTATCAAATTCCGCTTGAAGGACAAATTGCCACGCTCTACCACCAGCTTTTGTGTGTATTCATTCGTATGCTCGTGCCGATCATCGTATGTTGGTCGTACGACAAGGCATTTGTCGGAGAGAATGCGAGAACACAATGCCGTATCTCTGAGTGTTAGTGGGAAGAAACCAGGCTCAAGCGCGATTGCATCACATTTGGCCGAAACCTGTCATGTCATAGGCAAGGAGCAAGCCTTCAGCATCATATACCGGGTACCTATGATCCGATCAAGATTGGTACGATCCAGACTACTATCGATCGCAGAGGCGATTGGAATCTGACTGCTGGATCCGCAAATTTGCATCCAAAAGAAACTCATGCGACCCGCTGAACCTAAACTGGCCTACGAAGCATCCGGTCCCACAAGTCTGTCTGACATTGACGTCACTTACCTGATTCCGTGACCCATTGACCTACCCCTCTTCCTTTGATTTCTATTTCTCCACGTGATCTCTGCTACCATATAAATTTGTGATGTACAAGCCAAGAGGAACGATCACAGAAAACAAGCTTTGCTCGCTACCTTCTTTGTTCTCATGACTACCACGGGTATATTCAGTCATATTTTCCAATCACTTCGTTAGTAATCCTTTGAGGCCGTCCGAAAACAGCGACGTTTCTGAGGCGTAGGCGGTAAAAACTTGAGGGCACCGCACATCATCTGTCCGCAAACGTCGTATCTCGCACAGACTTTACTGTACACGCGAGCCTTAAGATCTAGTGACATCCTTTTTGAGGCCACAAGTGACGCAAATTAGCAAACGTGATTTGAGCTCTTGAGATTCTTTCAATAACTTCATAAGACACACCCCCATCAGAGCCAACAAAACTACCGAGGAATGCAAAATTTTTCAGTCTCCAGCGTTTCACCTTGGATCGTTGGGGTTATGTTCAGAGACTGCGTATTCTGGAGCATACCTCCAGATTTTGAAGGTGCAAGGCGCATGGCGAGAGAAGGCTTGACGGTTGTCACTCTGTTCAACAGGGCATATGCTTCGCCTTCAAAGACGAGGAAGATGTTGCCTGCGTACACCGTTTCAACAAAATACTCACCAGCGATGATTGGAACACCGTGGTTTTGAAGATCTTCCAGAGTTTGCCTCATTATTTCATCAATGGCGAAGTTGAACAAGAGTGAAGAGTGTGTGAGAGTGTGAGAGAGTATCATGAGCTGACCAAATGTCCTTTACCACAAGTGGTGTCCGAAAAGAGTACCCACTCTCTCCAGTCCGAAATCTCCTTACAGGATTGAAAGCAGTGCTACCTAAAGCTCCGCTTGATTAATGTACTCTCTGTGCCTTACAACTCTTTCTCTATGTCACTGTACTGACCCTCTCTGGTACGGTTGTTTGTCTCTGCCCGCTAGCATACTAGAAAGGGTCAGCCCTCTTTCCAGAATGCGACCAACTTCCCAAGATGGTGAAGCCCATTTTTGTTGGGAGGAGCATATGAGCCGTTTTCACCATGGCTGTAGTATTCCGAGGCAAAAGATTCTACAAATGATCAGTTGAGTCGTCATCATTCATCTTCATCAAAGACAGCAACATCATTATTGGCACTGACGTTTCACTGCCGTACAACCATATATGATATATATATATATAATTATATTTAAAGCCCCAGAGTGAAACGGAGAGAAAAGGGCTGGGCGAGGGAGGGAACATAATGCTGGTCTGTGTCGAGCATTCTGAGGTGTCTGCACCTGCAACCGCTCAATCAGACAATCTGAAAATAAACTGACAGCACGAACGCCACTGACGTCGATTGACCGCCATTTCTTGCAAGTGTCCAGCCAAGCACAGACGGGGTCACGAGGACCCCACCTGGAAGGCGTAAAACACCAACAACACTCAAACTCTTCTTGATCTCTTTGACGCCTTTCTGCCAAGTTATGTGCTGTCCGCCTCGCGGTCTGTGCCATCCTGAAGAAGGCACGGAGAACAACACTCGTCTCGATAGACGGTGTTTCGGCATGCGTATCACTTGACCGAGCCATCGTAGTCAGTGATGCTGGATATTTTTTTTGGATTGAAGTACCTGCCGCACAACCGAATACCCGTTTTCTAATCACCTCGTTACTAACACGCTGACGCTGTCCAAAACCAGTCACACTTCTAAGGCATCGGTGGTCGAAAACCTGAAGACGCCTCACATCATCTACCCAAAGAGGCCATGTCTCGCACCCATACAACAACACAGCCCTTACTGTAGCCTGGTATACACGACCCTTAAGATCCAGTGAGATGCCTTTTTGAGTATATGAAGAGGCATGAAAAACCAAGGTACCAAATGCTAGAAAATAGGGATCGCCATACATAAAGGGGCAAGCTCCTGAAAGGCGAATTGCAAAATTGGTGGAACTTCCACACCTAAAATATGAAATATCTTGAACGACCTGTCACCTGTCGAGAGGGTGATGTTGTTGGGAAACATCCATACGGCGTTTAAGGGATCCATTAATCCAACTGGTCGTCGAAAAACACATCCCAGATTTTGAAATAACCTTGTGTGTAATCGAGCAGGGTCTGTTATCATGTACAGTTCGATAACTTTGTTCAGCCACATACACACAAGCGAAATGAATGATAAACAAACAGTTTCCTCTCGAACCTGGTCAGAATGCGTCACTGGTGTGATGGTTTTCGTAATGCTAATGATGGACAACTTACGCACACGTCATACTAAGCTACAGAGAGATCGGATACTAAACATTGTTTGTTTCCGTTCATGTACCAGAAACACTGTTTACAGAGACGACTAAGCATTCAGCCAAGGCTCTGATCATTAAGGCCAGCAAATTTTACGTTAGAAGTGCCGCGCTAAGTTAACTGTCAGGAAACAAGCTGCCTGGGAGGCGATTGTCCGAGGATCACCTATTCTGGACCACTTTTTGTTAGATTGTCTACTGGTCATCTTCAAACGTGCGCGTACTCGCTAAATCATCGTTTCACATTTTGTTTTAATCGTTCGATCGGTGTCAGATGGCAGATTTGCAATCTGATTGTAGGTGTATCGAAGATATCCCCGGTGAATGGTGACCAATAAACAACGCAAGAATGATGGAAAGAATCCACATGCTGAAATTTCGCTTATTCAATCCATCGATTTGTGATAAAGTCCTAAAAGTATATTACAGTAAATTTAGATCCTATTACTTTTCAGAATAGGACATAATGTGTCACTATTTATGAGACAATACAGATAATACAGTAAATGAACTCACCACCGTAAGGGGTTGGATACGAAGGCGGGGATTCCAGATAGACGTACGTGCCAGATTCGTCCGTTGTGTGTTTAGTCTGCAACGAGATGTCATCCGTCATGTGTTTACACATTTTCGAGGTGGGAAGTGACGTCATCTCTGACTGCACTCCTTTGTCTCGTTTGATCTGTGACTTTGCTGAAAATCAACCGGGGGTCCGGTATCAAATCGGTCATCAATTGACAATCGTGGTGGAAATCCCAGCTTAATAGGTAAAATTCGTTAAACTTTTCCCTTTACACATCTTTGGGTACCAAGTTGACAAGCAGGCTATACAGGCGAACCCTGAAGGATCCATATGTATTGACAAAAATCTGCGCTACTCGAGTAAACTTCTAGTTAACCTGCGAGAATCTGAGTGGTATTTCAAAGACATAAAACAGGTCACCTTGAGGCTTTCTATCGCCTGAAGATTCACTCACTCTACTCTGTTGGTGCCTAGAAACTCGACGGAAGCCTGACTTGGTGTCAGGTTGCAAAACCCAGGAGAAACCTTCTCAAGATTCAGGACTGAGCATGAACGTTCCTTTCGACAGTTTTGCCCGGGCTCTAAGTTATATCACCTAGACTGAAATTTGACCGGTGGCCTGTCAATAGTACGGTGCAGCTGCGAATGTTTTTCACCTAAATGAAATTTAACTGGAGACGGGAAGGTTCGTATTGAACACTAACAGAGGCTAGTATGAATAATGAAGGAACGTATATCCCGAAGTAAGGGTGTAGTTCATTCTGGGACAGTAATGCACTGCATGTTTTACATTGATTCGAACTCATCACATGCGTCGTCACATGACTTTTTAGCTTACTGTTTTTTCATCCAAGCTCCAACCGGCCAATAAACAAATTTACACCCAAGCCGAATGGAAGGGATTCACTGAGATTTCAAAAGTCCCGATGGACGAGGTGATCTAAACATCTGAGGCATTCGAAAAAGCTCCCTCACTGATATGGTGATCATCGCCTGAGATAAAAGGTCTTCGGACTTACAAATGCAATCACGGATTTTGCTTTTGAGTCACGCAAACGTTTATAACAGTCTATTGAAAAACAACTGAAGCGTCGTAGAAAAAGTGAAACTGTTTGAAATACACCCATTTACAAACCAATTTGGCCTTGCGAAAGATTCACGCTAAATCTTCGTTTGTGATGTTTTCAAGTTTGAATGATCGCCCACACAAGACTCTTTAAAAAGCTTCTAAATGTCCAGACAATGTAGGTTTTTGCACTCAGAAAGGTATGCGGCACTTGGAGACCCAAAGATTTCCATACGACTGTCCACCCTTTTGTACGAAAACCATATGTCATTCACACATATCAGTGTCAGAAATCTGATGATGCCTAAGTTGGAATGGTCTCTACGTGTGAACAGCCATCACTTTCAAGCTTTGTGGATTGAAAGATACGTGGGTATGCACTCTGCATGCCTTGAAAAGAGCAACTGCTGTTGTCCTGAATTCCGTTAACTATGAAGACAGATAGCTTCCGGAGTGTCTATGATTATTGAAAGTGAATTTACTGAGCTTCTGACTGCTATGCGTCTCAGTGAATGATGTGTTTCGGGTCCTGAAACATTACAAAACGAACAAGGCTGAATACACCCGGGTGCATCTGTCTGATGAAGCGTGATGTAGCTCAGTTTGCGTCAAAATACACTCAACTGCAGGCAAACAAACGCTCGTGGAATCTCATTTTCAGCCGCATTCTTGTTGAGTCCGAGAGATAACATCGGATGATGAGGAAGGATTGCTGATATCCCGCACCATGGCAACAGTTTAGTTAACTGTGACGTATTACTCATCTGTCAATAACAAACTGACTATCCCCAGAAATTAAGAAATTTTTGTGCCCTCGTGCTCAAAAGGCTTCTTTGTCACTGTTTTCAATAGAGTTGGCTCGAAAGATAAAAGTGACTGAATACATTCCCTCTTTTTTGGGGAAGCATTCCATAAAACTCTCAATCAGTTTAGCCTCTCAAACTATGTCCACTGCAGTGGGTATAGGATTGAAAGTTCGCCTCGAAGTGCATGCTTTACGAATGTGACTAAGGCGTGTTCATCATTACTAACAAAAGACCAATTCCAGTGGTACTTCACCACACTCGTCCCAAAGAAAAGCATTCAAACCCGATTTAATCGATCCGAATGTCCGGAAACTGTGTCGTTTTATTCAGCCTTGCTAGTAGTATCGACTGTCTGACTCCTACTGTCTGACTCAACCTAAACCTGAGTCAGAGAATCGGCCACAGTTTTGCTTGGAGAAAGCGGTACGAATCTCTTCGTATGCAGATAACAGTTCAATTTCATCTTCATCTTTCTCCTAATGATAACTGTAAGAGAGAAGCCAACGTAGGCCAAACTACTAAAGGACAGACAATAAAGAATAGTTATCGATAGAGAAGACGTCAAAAAGCAAGGCTTAAGCGGTGAGAGGAGACATTCTCTGCGGAATTCCTTTACGGAGTATTTCGTGCCTGTGATCATCGAGAATTCAATCCCCACCTTGCTCCTCTGTAAAAGAGTTAGCACTGTGTGGAAATTTTGAAAGCGACCTAGAGGCTTCACCCTATCAGTGACCTTGAGATTACCAGGCGTCACGGATTCGCGAAGGCGATTTAGCCTAACCAGGCCTTGCTTACTGAAGACTCGTCATTTCTTACTGCACTACCACAGATGACGGAATGGAATCACTCGTTGCCCGACTGTGTGCACAGATTTACAAGTACAGTGAGGTATTTTTCAGCCTAGATTAGCTTTCGTGTCGTCATGTAATTTGCTATGCACATGAAAGTAAAAACTGACAAACAAGATCCTTACCGTTCACAAACTTGTTTAAATTACCCAGGATATACAGCGACTCCTCAAGGTTAGACAGCAGTTGGGCGTTTCCAATCCGAACTTGAAACTGACGAGATAAAGTGGAGTGGAAAACAAGGATTATTGTTTCCTTTTTGAACAAATTTCTCAACATGTAATTTACAGGCGTGACACTAAAAAATGAAAGCTTCCAATTAGAATCTACCCTAGTATGTCATTCGAATCGGAAGAGGTGAANAACAAATTTCTCAACATGTAATTTACAGGCGTGACACTAAAAAATGAAAGCTTCCAATTAGAATCTACCCTAATATGTCATTCGAATCGGAAGAGGTGAATTTTAAATCAAAAAGATTCTGGAATGGGGGATATTTTGTGCCCCAGTGATCTAGTCATCAAATCAATAGGGTTAAACCACGAGAATATTTGATCTCATATCATTTTGAATGGATGGACTATATCCAGCAACACTGCCACAAGAGCTACGATTATGGTTGGCAACGCTAATACTCTACAAAAAGGCTATGTCGGGATGCTTAGAAGAGGATTTCCCCTACGATAGACACCGATTGGTAAGCACTGGGGAATATTTGCCCTCAATATGGACTCATGCATTTTTTCTCAGAGTAATATCTAATATCAATTGATGCTACCTACCAAATTCATTCACAGAAATACCACTCACAGATGAGTGTGCGTTGATCAAGAGTCAAGTGTCCCTCCTCATTCTTCATATGGATACTATAATACAAGGAGATGTTTCAGTTCTCTGTGTTCTCTGTTAGCAGCTGCTATCTTCGGAAACGTGGCTTAAATGACCTCATTTACGTCGACTGCCACAAACGTCTGATTTGGTTTCAGCTAGGCATCTAGCAAGCAAAACTGACTGTCTAGTGGGTAGCTTCGCTTCGTGACCCTCCAGGAGTATAAAATAATCTGTTTCGCATCGGTTCTATAGAGATGCCAAATTATCGTGAAATTGTTTTGTCTCCAGAGACTTCATCAAATAACCAATAGACTTATCAAGGTCAATCAAATTACTGTAAAGCCACAAATACGATTTTGAAATCCCGGGAGAAAAAACGAAATGCCAGAAATTGAGAGGGGCTGACGTCACCTCCACCTATCAAACAGGTTGTACACAAACTCACTGCACAAAGGTTACTGGAGACCGGTCCGCATTACCCTCAATGCAGCGCAGGGCACGTGACGCGGACATCACGTGGATCGTACCAACAACCGCGGAGTCTTCGTAATTTGCGTGCAACTGAATGAAACCTCTCTCTAGTCTTGTGGCTCCTGAATCATCATGAAACGACTCCATCTTGGAAATACACTAGTCGTCTAATCCCGTTTTAACGATTGTTTCCTAGGCCATATACCTCAGTTCTTATTAAAGGCATAAAATTATGACTGTGATTTAACACATGTGTTTTAACTTTACAAATGTATCGTATAGCAGCTAGGCAGGTTGTTCTATGGTAGTAGCCAAACTGGCAATCATAATGGAGCTGATGAGACATGCGAGTGCTTTAGGGTCTGGCGCCCAAGTTCCACCCCAGCATCTGATGGAAGGTGAACATTACAACAAAACTTATGGAACCATTTTGTAGTGTTGGTTCATTATTGTTTATTATTGAATGAACGTCCTGGGAAGTTGAATAGGTGCTTGAGGACGCTCCGAAAATTTCTATAGACGAGATGTTTATTTTTGTGTCCAATGGCTTGTAAACACTTAGTTCCTGTTTGCTCATGCGTGGCTTCTCAGCGAAAGTCGTTCTCTCTTTCACTGGTAGCTGAAATTGCGAGGGATTCATAAGTTATGTTGAGACATTATAGTCGCCCCAACTCTACTGAGGCGTTCAAAAACACTGGACATCGGATGTGTTTGAACCTCATAGTGCGGGACTGCAACACGTGGTTTACTTATGTCTGTCTGCTAAAAGTTACCGGTTGAACAAAGGTGAGTAAACCTGCTCACGAAGCGCTAGTTAATTCAAAGGGCTGCAAAATTGACTTATGAATGTAAAAGATGAGGGAAGAAAGCTGTTAGCTCTGATCAGCTCTGAATTTCAGTGCATACAAGCCTATTCTATTCACTCGTATTAATTGGATCGTATTTGTTCTAAAACACCGGAAAAATTCCCCCTTGTCTTACCATTTTCTGTGTCAGCTCTCCCACCATTTCGTCCATCCGCCTACACAGATCAATATTCGAAGTCATTTGTTCAACTCTCGATTGGTCCTCTTCTGATTCATGATCTGTGCTCTTGGGTAAACAGTTGTCACTTACACAGTTTTCTTCAGGACTGCCGTCAGAGGAGAGTGGATCACTTGACAGGTGATCCGCACTTGGCGATTTTGCATCAGAGTCTTTCTTGCCTGGAGTGTGGTTTGCTGGTTCCACGGCTTCGTAAATATCGCCCAACTCGCCCTGCTGTTCCCAACACAACAGCACCAGTTCCTCCACCTGAGATTCGGTAGAACTTCGTTTGGGACGAGGAGCTGCTGAGGTGAGACTGCATTCGCTTGCCGTGGGCGATTGGTTCAATTGCCTCTTCGGGGAACAGGCACTGGAGGTTGTCGAAACACCATTGGTATTGTTCGTATGCAACACAAATCCATTGGAGTAGGTTGTCAAATGTTTGGAAAGAATCGCTGGTGCATGCATTTTCGTTTGTATCACATTTTGGTGCATAGGAAGTTTGGCGAATTCCGGACGGTCTCGCTCACATGACTCGGTGAAATGTTTTAAGAAGCTGCAAGTTTAGAAAAAAGAGTTTCATTGGTTAAGAAGATCTTTCATCAATGTTTGGTTGGTACAGTCACCCTTGCGGTACGGTTTTAGCCAAGTGTGACGCGACTACGCTGGAGCAAGACTGGTTCCCGGCAGCACCAATCAGCACTCAGAAAAGTTGGTGACAGCCATCCAACCAACGAATGCAATGCACAGCGCAACTAATGATTGGGCCAATAATACTACAAGAAAGGTATATACCAATTAGCCAATCACATGACAGGATATTAGATACACTTCAAAATTAAGTAAACGCAGCTAGGCACGGAGGAAGCATCCACACGACTGCGCACTGACGACGTCTCCTCAACTGGGGACGAAACGTTTGCAGACGAATTGCCAAGCTGGGCAAGCAGATCAGCTGCCATCTGACCAGCCAACAGTTGGTGATAGAGTTTGGCAGTTTAAATTTTCAGTATAACGTGGTCTTAGTGCTCTTACCGTACTCAGGTATGGATTAGCGGCCATCCTAACCTCGTACTAACCAACTCTCCAACAGAACGGCCTAGGAAAGAGATATTTACTTAGACGTGCTTTCGGTCACTAAACCGCTATCAATCGCTCTGTTCACCAGGCTGTTCGATTTGCATCAGTCGATAAAAGACCTTAAAAGACATGAGCGAATTCGTGAAGTGCCACGCAGAATGTGACTTTGAGAAAGAAAGTACAACCAGTAATCTGTCGAATAAAAACAACCTACTCACGTTTCGAAGACGAAACATCGGGTCATTCCTCAAGGACTTCTTCATATAATTTTAATAGATACCTTAACTTGCCTTCTCCTGATTAGCTCATTGTGATATGATTGCAGATCGAACTGGAATATTTCTCTGGAACTCGATGAAACAATTACTTTTAAAATTCAACGATAACGAATGGGAAGTGTTTAACTGGAGCCTGGATGTTTGGTAGTCCCCTGATTGTACAAGATGACGACTGTTTGTGTAAAAGTTGTTCGTGCTTGGCAGCTATTCCTCCCGGAGGGAGCGTGATGGCCGTGGTAATGCCAGGGTGCCCAGACCACGGACTTTCCGTTCGCCCCCGCCTAACGACTTAGCTGTCTCGCGCTCATTACAACAAATTGCCATCTGTTTAATCAGCATAATCCAAATCTGCTTCTTTTGATATTGATATTAAAAGATGAGTAGCCTAGCTAAGAAAAACGCGTGATTTCGACTCCATCTGGGACTTAATGGTCGACAGAGTAACTCCCAAAGCAACTGTGATATACTGTTTGAAAGCAAAAGTACTGGTAAACAAAAGAAATCACAATGATTTTGTACACCATGGTTGGATTTAGCTGTATTACTATCCGCGTGGATTACCCTACTTCTTGGGGGGGTCTGTAAATGGGTTTTCAATCACCAGCGTTCTGATGCTCAACTCCTCAGGAATGACAAAATAACCCCGCTTTTCCAGCTAGCTCTTAGTAAAAGGTATCTGGCCTTTCCTCGAGTGAACTGCATCACAATTTGTCTGAAGTAGAGAACCCTCGACACTACTTGATGACGGTATCGCCATTCTATGCGAAAAGTTGAGCAGAAAGTTTTATTCCTAACTTAATGTTCTGTTTTAAGGAAAGCCGGCATTCGACCTAAGGTTTCCTGTTAAGTATTTTGTTACTTCAAAGCCGTGCTGGTGATGGTCAGAAGGTGGGGTGTGCTTCCACGCTTCAACGCCGGTGTTCCAATACGTCAAACTGCTGGATGTCTTGGATTCGCAAGAAACAATTTGGTCAGCCGTAAAGTAAGAGAAGTTGATAGAGGTTGGTTTTTCATATGGTTCCTCTCACATTAACAGAAGTTTTACTCATGACGGTTAGCTTATCCGGTGGCAACTGGGTGGAGTGTGGTTTCCCTGGGCACGCTGTTTTGATATTGGACTGTAAGCCGAACTTGGAAACTCACCGAACAGACTAACGACCGAATAGGATGGGAGCGTAGGTCATTAAATTGACGATTGAGGTTGGTACGTCAAAAAAGAAGTTGGCCAACCCCCTTGGATCGGAAGCGTCACTGTCCACAACGATCATACTGGCCAATGACTCAAAGTGACTGATCTGCCAGGGTGCGGGTCAAAACATTTGACTAAGCAGAAAGTGTCTTTGAAGTAGTTGAGGGCGATTATTCATAAGTGTCAGGGTTCAGTTGCCCCCATTGGTAACCGATAGCATTTTGTTTCACAACTCAGTCTACATAGCGGTTACGCAGGCTTCCACCACAACATTTGTTCTGCTTTGCATCTAGATTCTTCACACGTGTGACCCAGCCCCCAAGAGTATGTTACTTAGGATGACGTAATGTCACAGACTTGAGCTCAGTTAACATATCGTGGTCCGCTGAGTAAAACCCGAGAGGAAGTCGATGGAATTTGACGGGATTTCAAGGGTTTAGCTCTAACATCTAAGTTGATGGAATTTGACGGGATTTCAAGGTTTTAGCTTTGGCTCTAACATCCGAGCAAAAGATTGTCCACTGTTCTTGATTAAGGCAGGTTCGACACATCCTTCTATCTGTAAAGCCTTCGAACGTGAACGAGATCAATATCATTACCGCTGTCTTGATACTCCGTGAAGCAAACTCGAGGAGCTACAGGTGGACCAGGTACTTCTGATTTCCAAGCAAAGCAGGCTACAGGTGAACCAGGTACTTCTGATTTCCGAGCAAAGCGCTGGTTAACGGGGAGTGTTCAATACTGCAGCTGTACGCGGCGGAAACACAGTCTGCCTGCAAACTTTCTCCCTAAATCTGACGACGATCAATATAAAGGTTTCATTTTTATCACCTAATTCTGACCAATGTTTCAATAGGCTGGATAAGGAACAACTAGAATGCGACGGGAGGCATTCTTCCGTCCACTTGTAAAAATTTAGTAGGAGCTGGTATCAGGTAAGCCTAGTGGATATTCAAAACTTTTCTATCTTCCGATAATTGGATGCATGAACGCAAATCTCCGTGTCTCAGTCCTCGTCTCTCACATGTACAACACGCCTAATCACGTGTTTAGTGAGAGCGTGGAATTTGAACAAAGAATGAGGTAAAGGAAGTAGTGAACGATGCTCCTCTAAAGCAAGTTAGACTGACGCCAGAATACCAAAACTCTTGAAAGATAACAGCTTCAATGGTGGTTGAATTCGGGGCCACTACTATCCAAAATTTGGCATTGACAACAAACCTACAGTCGACCATGAGACACAAATCCTCATCTCTAGAGTTTATATTCCGAATAAAATATCTACCGTATAGAGGAAGCTGGCGTACTAGGAATGTACCGTCTTAGCTGAACCCAATCGACAAACTTGGAGAAAGCTAATCACAAAGATGTTCTGCTGCTGGTAGCCGAACAGTTAAAAGTCCGGTCACTGGTAGGAAGCTACTGTGTGCCGATGAGCACTGATGATGATTCCCAATAAGAATGAGGTAGCTGTTCCTCGGCTCTTAAGCGCAGACTGGTTTTACTGACAAGACGAAATCCCAGCTGATCACTTTCGAACCTCTCCACATCAAAATCAACGTGGAAAATACCACGTCGTTCACCCAGTTGCTTATTCGGGCGTCTTGAATAGTTAACAGCTCTCTGCCAATTAAATGCAGCTTTTCAGCCCACAGATAAAAAACCGAAAGACGCAAATTACTGTGATAGGGTTCATCTATTTGTAAAAAATATAAGGATTGCTGTGACACTCTTGGAATGACTTGGACTGTTTCTGTCATACTTTTACCCTTTTTTCCAAAAAATATTTAGATGACCAATTTGAATACGGCTTTGTGGAAGCAAGCGGAAAAGCAGCAAGTGGTGTTCTACTCGAATTCATTGAGGAGTTTCTAATTTCAAGGCAACTTATCGAATGCTAGCAACAGAAAGACTGGCTGAGGAGAACGTGTGTTAATTTTGTATTTAATACACTACTCATAACGTTGCTGAAATTTTTTCAACAGCGCACGACCGGCTTCGTCCTTCTTGGGGCTCATCAGGTAGGCGAAGTCCCGAATTTCCGTCAAACTTATGTTCTAAGTGACATCAAATCACACATACTTGGCAAAATACGTCCATTTGCCAAAAAATTTTGATTTTACGGCACCCTGGTACCTAGCTGAATATCTTGTTTATGATGTTTTCTTGAAGGAATCTACTCGAAAGCCACCGACAGCTTTCACTCTTCCTATGTGAGCTCATCAGTTCGAGGAAGTCCCCGAATTTCCGTCAGCATGATGTTCTACTTGAACCCAAATTGGGCTGACTTCGACAAGTACACTCATTTCCATATCAATCTGGTTTTCACGGAAGACTCAGCTGGATCTCTCTTATATGGTATTCTTCAACTGAATGCGCTGCACGATATTCGGTATATTTGATGAAATGTTCTACCCATACGTCTGCTGAAAAGTTTTCGGAAGTCCACGACTAATTTCGTGGCTGTCAGGTAGGCGAACGCTCCGAATTTCTTTAAACGGAAATACTGGACTGCTTTTGTGTAGCACACTCACTCATAAACTAGAGATCCAGCTGAGGTTTTGGTCTATCTCCCATGGGAGCCAACTTGAAATAAATGCATCTGCCAAATGCCTTTTTTGATTCGACCATAGTTTATGTAACATTGCAATTCATTTCACATATTCTTCTTCTCAAAAAGGCCGCATGGCATTTTTGGGTTTCCACAAGCGCAAATCCAATGAGAGACTTAGGCACTTGATGGTTGCACACTTACCGCACCGGATGTCTTGGTTGATGATGACCGATCGATGATGGTCGATCAGAGCTGTACAAAACTTTGAATGGACGACTATTTGAAAACTGGTGCAGGGCCAGCTCCTCAGTAGGTGGATGAATGTATCTGAACTGAAGAGTTTTGCACAATTAGGTGCAGTCATTTACTCGATTTTGCACACAACGGATTCCAGATTCAAAATTCAGTTAGCAAAGGGGAAGTTTCAAAAATCGTGTCGTGAACAGGAATCGTTA